GCTCGGGGCGCCCGGCCGTGCCGCCCCCCGCAGTCTCCGGGCCTGCTCTTGGGGGAGATCCGGAAACCATTTTAAGTCCTCGTTGCTGTCGTTCAGAGTAAAACGTATGGAAGGACTGTGTTCAGATGAAACACGAGCATCCTAAAAATGCAAGTCAAAACACGAGTGTGATCGAGTTACCTCTTTTCTCAACCCCTCCCCAGACGACTCCCCTGGGCCAGCTCCCCTACCGCTCAGATAAGATCAGCCTCTGGGTCTCTCTTCCGGAGCCCATTGGCCCTCTGGCCCTTCTGGAACACTCCTGGCAGGCCCTCCTCTGCCTGGACCAGATCTCTGCAGGGTTCACACCCTCCCTTCTCTCAGTCTTTGTTCAAATGTCACCTCTTTGAAGAGGTCAACAATGACCAGGCATTTTAACAAATGCCAGTCCCTCTGACGCCCCTGCCCTGTCTACTTTGTCCTTCCTTCTTTCCGTTCATCTTCCAGGTCCTTATATAAAGTCTTAGGTCTTATCTGCAGGTCTTCTTTCTGCTAGAATGCAAATTGGACAGGGCAGGCCTCCGCATTTAGTGTCTGGGGCAGTGCCCGACACAGGCGGTGCCCCGACGGGTTTGTCGAGTGACTGCTACAGCGCGAGTTCTCCCGTCTTTATGTTCTTGAAGTTTCTACAGCTCCACGCTGTTCGTGGAGAGTGCTGTGGTACGGTGACCTGGTGATGCCACTCTCAGTGTAAAAACAGGGATTTTCTGCAAGAAGAGGGAAAATAATGGTTTCAACTTAAACGACTCTTTGATTTCCAAGTTGTTTTCTGTTAGCAAAACAAGTTTCTATTTTAATCTCAGGAAACATCCATGCCAATTCGGGCTTGGGACATTATTTTAGGCAAACAGCTCCATGTCATCCATTTCAAAACCTTCTAATGAAGTCCAAAAATGTAGGAGTCAAAATATTTCTTCTGCAGAAAATCGAATTTTTTAAGTGTGATGTAGGCTGGGTTCCAGGCCCCAGTGGTTTGTCCTTTGCTGTTTTCTTTCTTGGCTCCTGGATGGGATCTGCAAAGAAGCCCAGCAGTGGGCAGTGTGGGCAAGGGGCAGCCCACAGACGGGTAACTGGAGAGAGAGGGCTGGGGTGATGTGTGGGACCAGGGCAGATATCTGGGGGCAACGCCCCCTCTCATGCCTCTTCTCTGCTTGTACCCCGTTATTTTATTTGACTTAAAACCACTCCATTTATCTTTCTTCTCCATTGGACAACGTTCACTCACTCTGCGTCTGAGCTCAGCTGACACTACCCAGGAAGCCTTTTCTGGCCTCTCCTGGCAGAAGTCCCTGTGGTGTCTGCTCTGTCACACCATGCATCCTCTAAAGTAGCTCATTTTTGTTTGGTCGAATGGTTTTTTTTTTTTATTATTTTTTAGACACAGAGAGAGAGAGAGCGCGCGCCAGAGAGACATGCCTGACGGGATCCACCAGAGGCCGGCTACAGTCTTTCTGCACTGCCAGAAAGGTCAAGCCCCCAGGCATGCTGCTCCGCCTGACGTGTCTGGGTTGGTCTAGGATTCGAACCTGCATCACCATGGCTAGGTATGCCGAGCACTAGCACCGTGTCTATCTTGTCACCGTGGCCTGTGCCAGACCCAAGGTTTAAACCCAGCAAACGTGAAGTGGACGGGATTGCCTGGTGAGCTTTAGCGTCTCCTGTGAGTAAGCCGTGGCTAATGCGCTGGCCCTGGCAGAATCAGAAGAGGAGACCCTAAGGGACTCTGCCGTCCGCCTGGGTCTCAGGCTGCAGCCCTAGGTCTGTGCGTTCTGACAGCGAAGTGCTCTGTGGGAGGACATCGCCCCGTCTCAGTCTTCTCCAGCTTTCAGCAGTGCCTCTGGGTTAGAGTCCACATGAGAAGTGACACCCATTTTCTCGTGCACAGATGCAGCCACCACTGCTCAAGGATAAATACTAACAAATACACTGATAAATAACAGAGCACAACCAAATCTAATGTACGGAAATGGGAACTCTCCGTATTTATCTTTTATCTTTACCGGGTGCTGCCAATGTATAGGCCTCTCCTGGTGCTGGGCTTCCATCTAGGGTAGAAAGGGAAATCCTGTCCTGAGGGGCTCACATGCCGCAGGAAGCGAGATGGTCAGCGCTCAGCCAGAGGACAAAGGGGCAGGTGTAGGGAGCAGTGGGCCCTGGGCTGATATTCTGCAGGACCGAATGAGTGAGGGAAGACCTTGGGAGTGCAGGCGGGGTGGTGTCCACGCAGAGGGCAGAGCGAGTTTCGGAATGACTTCCAGTGGGCAGCGTGGGCCTGCCCCATGTTTGGCGAGGCAGGGATTACCCTCTGAACTGCTGGGGTCAGAGCAGGGGTCCTGCAGCTGCTGTCCACAGCAGTTCTGACCCCACCTAAGAAAGGGTGTGGCCGCTCTATGCTCTGAAGGTGAGGCAAGGGCCTGGGTTAGACGGTCAGTCTCCACCTTCTCTTAGGGGACCTACCCTGTCCACACCATCCCCACCCATAAGGGAGTGCTGGAGTGCATGCCCTCCTTGAGGACCGTAGCCCCCACACACCCTTGTCCTGAGGCCCAAGTGTTTCTTTGAGGAGTGAGCAGAGTCCCACGTTTTCAGGGCAGACCAAAGGTCTGGGTGGCAACTGGACTCCCGTAAGACCTTGCTGGGCTTCTCACCTAAGTGGCCTCAGGCGGGTGCATCTTTCTGGTTTGTGGCTAGACCTCACTGTGGCCGACTTCTTTTTGTGTGTTTATTTTTCCCGTGGCCATACCCTTTAGTTGAGGTTTATGGATCATCTTTGCTTCGGTTCTGGTTGGATCGGTTTGGCAGTCTTCATGTTTTCAGACGCACCAGCAGTGGCTGTCAGGGGCCCTAGGTGGCGCCAGCACTGACTGGTGTCCTACCTGCAGGGCGGTGGATCCCCTGGTCCCGGGGCCACAGCTGCCCTGTGAGGTGGGTGTCTCACTCTCGGGCATCCCCTTCAGGGAGAGGGCCAGGTGGAGACAGCAGCTGAAAGAGGGAAGTCTGTCTTGGAGGGATGAGGTGATGATGGAGGCGCTATGACCCGTGGCTAGTGTTCGTTCACCACTCGCGTGCGCCCCCCAGAGCTGCTCCAGGGTCTGATCCTCGTCCCAGCCACAGCACCCCCATGGTAGTTCAGGCAGGAAGGGGGCTGTGAGTCCTGGACACGGGCGTGGGTTATCAGCACCCCTCTTCTCTGCCCAGAAGGGAGCCCCTGGAGTCCCAGGAGTCCTTCTCTGTCTGCTACCACACTCTCTCCGTGTCTCCAGCTCACACTTGGTGCCTCAGAAGCGTCCCACTGTCTCCCACGAGCGTTCTGCATCTCACCGCACCCCTTGGCCGGAACTCGGCCATTTATCCAGGCGTTTGGGTCTTTGCTCCCAGAGAGAAGCCACGGTGGGTCCTCCAGTCACCCGCTGGCATCCTCACAGAATTTTCAGGGGCATACATGGCGTCGCAATTGCTGTGGTCTCGAGAAACCAGCGCACTTCGTATTATTGCCGGAACTATTGCCAGAAAGAAGGCTGAACTTCACGATATCACAAAAATATCTTTGAAAACCTTTCTCCAAAATTCATTTGGTCAATGATTCTCATCATGCAAGTCAATACATTTATTTGGGATTTTAAGCATAGAACCCATTTTGTTAGGTAAGCCGCACGCAGTACCTAGCCAGTCCATACCGCCTGCAGAGCAGCACTGAGGACAGCTGACTGCAGGCGACAGCAGCAATGGTGGCCGGAGGCTCTCCAAAGGCCCCGGGGTATAAGAGGCTGGACCCCCTAGGCTTGTGGAAGGGCACCCTGTGATGTCATAGCATTTGTTAGTGTCACCTTCAGACGCGCTTCTCCTGTGTGTCCCTGTCGTTAAGAGACACATGGCTGTGTCCAAGAAGTACACTGCCTCCTCCACTCGAGTGGGGCCTTCCTGCAGGCAACACCACGCCTCTGCTTGGGCATCCAGAGTTCAAGGCCAGCGATCGCCAACCCCTGCACTAAGGTTCTCCGCCCTCCGTGCCCGGCCAGCTCTGGCTGCTGTGCCATGGACCTCTTGTCTCCACCGAGCTCCCATCAGTGATCGACTGATCCCAAGTTGCCCACACACGACTGCATGTCACCACCTTGGGGGCGTACTAGGTAGGCTCTGACCGCTCACTGTCGTGGGCGGCCTGCTCTTCTGGGTCTGAAGCAGGCCGCAGTTCCAGATGACACAGGCCCACTCTTCAGGTGAACGAGTTGTTACTAAAATAATAATACATTTCTCCCGATTTCTTTCTCAGTTTCTCACGCTTATGAAAAAAAAAAACAGATGACTGAAGGAGAAATGAGTCCTATTTATGTAATGTAGTCGAGAAGGGAGATATCATCTATCAGCTCTGAATGTCCCAAATATTAGCCGCAGACCGACTTAGAACTAAGTTTCGAAGCTGAGCTACTCCTCTCAGAGTTCAACCAGGAGCGTTCGTGAGCTTGTTACAGGGAACAGTCAAGAGCTGCACCTTCACTTTCTGGAAGACTCTGGGTGTTGTCTGATATATGTTTCCTGATCACATAAGGTAATTAGTTTCTTAGAGAATTTAAAAGCAATAGAAAATTTCATCTCTTTTAACAAAATTGTATGTCTTCTATTTTCTGATGGAAACTTACCGTACTGGTACTGTTTCCCTTTTACAGTGGATGCCAGAAGCCCAGTTCCAGTGCTGTGCTCTGCTGACTCTGCACTCCACGGGCCAGGACCCTGTGAGAGGCCTGGGTTCAAGGCCTGGTCCAACCTAAAGACCAGGAGTGGTGGCATATGCCTTACACCAGCTGCTGGGAGAGGCTGAGGCAGGAGGATGGCAATGCAAAACCCTGTCAGTTAAAAAGAAAAAAAAGTGTGCCAGAGAACTGTGGAGACAGAACAAGCTCAGCGGTTGCTGGGGATGAGGGAGGGCTGGATGGTCAGAGCACAGAGAACGTTGGGCCAAAGAACAACTGTTTGTGGACTAGTTCCATGTGTAACCTAAGTCAGAGGGGATGCTTTTACCTGTCCTGTTCCAGGTGGAAAAAACTGAACACGATTATTCTACATACAGTGTGGACTGTGTGGTCTATCGGATAAGCAAGACCTTAATCCCTAATGCAAAAAACCCAAAGTGTAACAATTATGAAGAGCTGGAGGATTTCCGTAGATAATGTTTTTAATACAATATTTTCAACTCTATTAAATGTGTGTGTCAGCTATAATTAATCTGCAAAATACTGGGTCGTTGGAAAAGTCACGGCACATTCTTGCATAGGACACATAGAAGAATACATCGTGACTTTTCTGATAAACCAATCATCTCATCATAAATTAATCAGCTGGAAGGTTTATCATTTCTCTAAATTCATTTCTGGGACTACAGTATAACTTTGAAGTTTTTTGGTTTTTTTTAGTTATCAGAAGGCATGTCCATTTGTCATATGGAGAGATAGAGAGAGAGAGAGCGTGCAGGTGGTGTGGTGAATAAAGGTGCTGGACTCCCACATGGACAACCACGGTTCAAGTCCCAGACCTGGCAGCTTGCCTTCTCACTTTCTCTCTCTCTCTCTGTCCCTCTCTGGTAAAATTAAAGTTCAATAAAATTTATTTTAATTTCTTAATTTTTTAAAAAAGCACCCCCCAAGGTGGCATGATAACACTACCGTTTATTCTCCGTTTCTCCATCCTGTCTTGATTTAGGACACCCACACACACAGAAGCCTGGCATGTTTACCAGGCTGCCTGGGTCAGGATTTGAACCACTGTGCCACAGCTGCTCATGTGGAATCCAACTTTTTTTTTTTTTCCTTTTCCAGTTTATCTACAAGGTGCGTGCACTGGCTGGAGACAGAGAAAGGGAAAGTCAGAAATTACCCTCAGGGAGCATGACCATGCAGTCCCTCCTCCATTTCCCTCTGGATTTCGGGCATGCACACACACATACATACACACACATACGTACACACACACACACACACACACACACACTTATGCCCAGTATGTTTTTCAAAGCTGTCAGTTTGGAGACTGACACAGCTGGCCACAAGGGACCCAGCAGCCTTTACCCCCATACCTCTGGCTGGCCTGGGTCCAGCTTTCCTACCCACCAGCTACAGGGCCTGCCCTGAAGAACATACTGAAAAAAAGAAAAAAAGAATGCAAGACAATATTAGCGCCGGTCTGACTTCGGGCTAACATAACGCACTCATACACTGTCAGTATGGCTCTGACTTCTGTTATGGCAGGAAAACTGGCGTGTGCTGGCAGTTACTGTGAAAATGTAATCAGAAAATACACAACGCCATCCCTGCGCAGGCTGGCTCAACTCACGGCAGTTGTAAGGAAGAGCAGGTTCGGCACAGCAGCTGACCTGCCACGTTAACCACCGCTCCCAGGTATCTGAATATAAAGGAACAGAGCATCTGTCTTCTGTTTACAGCATCGGGGGCACAGAGGAATGACAGACTGTTTTGCATTCTTATGAATATCTCTCTCTCTCAGAGAGATTTTTTGCTATTGGGTGTGTGCACCTGCTAGAGAGACAGAGAGGAAGTGAGAAATCACCCACTAGAGGGATGGCCATGCCTCAATCCCCCCTCTTCCATTCTCTCAGGATTTGGAGCGTGCACGCACACATGCCGTGTGTTTCAAGCTACTGGGTCTGGGACTCAAACTGCGGTGGGCCGTGTGGGTGTCCAGTGCCTTAACCACATGCTACCTGTTGGCCCCACGAATCTCTCTTTTTGTCACCAGGGTTCCCTGTCTTACTATGACAGAGGCTGGAAGCAGAGGCGCCCGTCTTTCAGCCACAAGTATGAACTGCTGCCTACAGGATAGCCAATAAAAGCCTTAGCAAGCCTTAGCAACCTTCCAGAAAGGAAGGGATTCCCCTGAACCAGGCAGACAGAGGGTGTATTATTCTTAGTGGTGTAGGATGAGAGTGGCACGCACTGAGAAAAGGAAGAGGAGGAGGAAGGACAGTCAGACTGGATGCCAAGCCAGCTCCTAGGACCAGTGCCAGGTCCTCCTGCCAGGCGGGAGCGTTATCTGGGCTCATGTCAGTCAGCTCCAATGTCTTCACAGTCTAGAAGAAAGATTTATTTGGTTTTTTCAACAAATAATTTAACAGGTATCCATGGCATAACGCTGTGTGCATTGTTCTGAAATCCCTGGAAGGCCGACCCAACCGGCAAGGCTGGCCAACGGCAGCTTGTCCGTACGCTCACCTAATTTCGCTTGGTCTTCTTAGCAACGAACAGGTTATTGTCACCATACTGTTGCTGATTTTGACGGTAGTCAATCTGTTTTACTCATCAAACGTGACCACAGGGTGGGCCAGGGAGAGGAGAGTGGAAGTAGAGGGGCAGGAGTGCAGGCCACCCAGACCCGAGGGTACAGCACAGCAGGGTCCTCAGGCATCTGCAGCGACTCCGCACGCAGGAGAACGAGAGCCGCGTCGGGGGTCCGGCGGGCTCTCCTCTACGTTTCCAGCTTTCCCATCGGCCTAGCCGTGCCTTTAAAACCCACTTTCTCCTCTAAAAGTTGGTTTGGCAGACTAGCACTTATGTTGGTTTGGAAGTCTAGCACTTACGCTTGTAAAAATCTGCCTGCTGCTTGAAATCTGAGTAAGGTCCTCAGGATAGACAACAAAAACAGGAGCAGGGTTCTGCTTCCAGCGCTGGCGGACCAGCGCGTGCTGAGCCAAGCCTTCCCCGAGAACAGCTCAGACAGCTTATTGAGGCCGAGAGGAACGAGGACGATGGGCCCAGAAAGGAGCAAGGAAGGCCACCGCGTATCTGAACGGCCCTTTGCTGGGTTCCAAATTGGTTGAGGCTAACAGACTAACGCCACCAGAATTTGGTGGCCACGTGTGAAAGAGCAGGTGGGCCTGAACAGAACCAGCACCCGGGAGAAGGCAGAGCTGTCCAAGGACCGGTCTGCATGGAGGAAAGGAAGCTCGCCACACTGAAGAGCAGCGTGGGGATAAAGCAGTCCCACGTCGTCTGTCTCCCCTCTGGAAAAGACTCAGTCCGAGAATGTGACATCCGGCTTCCCCTGGGGCCGCAGAGGTCAGTGCCATAACTCGTTTTCCGAAGGGAGACCTGAGACTTAACCTGGTTAAGTAACTCACCAGGTCACACAGCCAGTAAGTGACAGTCTGCTTTAAAGTTCAGGCCCGTCTGGTCTCAAAGCTCAAGCCCTGGCTGCTGTGCCCTGTGCCTGACGGACTCACGGACTGCAGGTCCACAGCACGTGGTTAGTGCAGAAGAACATGCACGTTTGGATTAGTTACAGCACAATTTGATGTAAAAGCACCACTCTGAGCACACGTATAGACACGCATGCTGGCACGGCAGGAAAGTGACCTCCTCCCTCCATTTCAAAATTTCATTCTTTAACCTTTTGACAACCCATTTTATTGTGTCAAAGAGAGGGAAAACAAGCTAGTATAATGGCTATAAAGTTTTGTGCAATAAACTCTCATTAGATTTGAATGATTACAGCTAGACTCACAGACGCTGTAGTGAGATTACGTGGAAGCACCGATGAAAAAGCTGTTCTACTCCTGAGTATTCTGACATTGACAGAAATGAAAGAATGGTAAAAGGGAAATGGACATTTTGGGATTCTAGAGATTTCTTTTTTTTAAATATTTATTTATTTAATTTTATTAATTATTCTTATTTCGTTTGCTATGGGGCACATCACCCAGCAGAGAGAGACAGAGACGGGGGCAGGGAGTGAGAAGGCACGTTGCCAGGTCCGGGATTGCCTTACCCACCATGCCATCTGCTGGCCCCTCTGGAGAGTTTCTCACTGGGAAAAGGCTTGGAAGTCATTTGTACTCGACGGAGTAGGTAAAAGACGAGGGCTAGGAAGACAGGGATGCCCACCACCGTCTGACATTAAGGTGGAGGCCAGGAACGGGACTAGCTAAAATCAAGATATTCCTAAGTTTTCTCAACGAAAAGATAATACATATGTGGAGACTACAAAAAGTTCACGGAAAATGGAATTGAACTATGAGCTTAGGGACCAGCGCATGGCGTAATGGTTAAGTCGCTGGATTCCCACAGTCGCCTGTGGTTTGAGTCCTGGATCTGGCTACTTAAAACTCATGCTGGGTGCATATGCGAGCGTGCTCAAGATCCTGAGAGGAGAATGGAGGGGACTACAACGTGGCCATCTCTCCTGGGGGGTGATTTCTTGTGTTCTATCTCTTTGTGTCTCGCTGGCAAGCACACGCACCATATAGCAAAAATTTCTCTAAAAAAAAAGTTTATTTTGGTTTAAAAAACGTTTTAATCCATTCAGTTTTTTCCATGATATGCATTTTCCGGGAACTTTTAGAACACCCCTAATAGGTAATGACTGATGTACTCTATCAACACCCAAGAGAGGGCCAGCTTATGGCACGATGGTTAGGGGAGCTGGCCGACTACATGATTCAAGTCCTGGACTTGGGGTCTTAAGAAACACACCAGGTACATGTGTGTGGGCACCCACAATCCTGAGAGGAGAGTGAAGCCTTAAGCCGACCCTTCCTCTCTCTGCCCAGGCAGGTACTGGGTCACTCGCCTGTCCCTACACCAGCCACTAGCGAATGAGAGCGAGAGGCATGACTGGCTTAGGTCAGGCGTAACTCATTCCCTGTTCTGTTGACAAAACAGAAGGGGAATCAAGGCTGGCCTGTGGCTTGGAGGCAAACACGTCATCTCTGCAAGGCTGACCACATGGGGAGAGTCTGGG